AACGGAATGGAAAGTGAATGTCAAGGTGTGCATATTTATTGTAAGTGATGCATTAGTGCAATTAATTAATTACGGTTAAAGACATTTATTTTTCTCAAAAGATTACAATTAATCAGTAAAAAATACAATACTAAACAAAAGTATATTAACTAATTAGCGTAGTTAGTAAGGTAGTTGTGAAAAGTTTTTTATGAGTCGGGTAGATTAAATACTTTCTATAAAGCTGTGAGTTCAAGAATGTTGGTGAATAAAACAATACATGTTTGTTAAGGCCTATGACTTAGTGACACGTACCTGTAGATTGATGTCAAACATTTTATTTCTTATTATAGTGACACCAGCAATGTAATATGTTTTATAAGTAAATAATATGTTATATAATTATATAAGCAGAGTGTACTGCTTTTTAGACTAAACATAGAAGCGTTGTAAATTGCATCACATAATATTATGTAGTGTTCTATACATAATATTTCCAATCCATTTTTTTTTTGTTTTTTTATATATATTAATAAAAATATGTGTAAATATGTATTAGTATAGGAATTATATTTTGTCTAATTGTTTCGTAGTTAAGTATGTGTATAGTTTAGATATGGTATTCATTGGTAATAACATAGTATTTTCACATTAAAATTTAAACAATACTACTTTCATGATCTTATTAGTGTAACATCCCTTAAAATGTGGCTTTTTAATAACTTTTTAAATGTGTTTAATGTTTTAGCTTCTTTTACAACTTTAGGTAACTTATTGTAGCTTTGGGCCCCTTCATATAAAATACTCTTTTTGCCGTAATTTATCCTAGGCATTCGCAGACAGATGTTATTGGCTCGCCTAGTTAAACGTTTGTGGCTGTCTATCTTTTTTGTAAATGTTAACTGTGAGTGGATGTCTTTTGTCAAGATTTTTCTAATAAATATGATGGTATTGTATTTATGTGTTTGAGCAAGGTTCATTATGCCTGTTTCTTTGTAGATTTTTACGGTGGGTGTTAAGTAATAATATCGAAACAATATTTTGATCAGTTTATTTTGCGAGGTTTGTAATTGTTTTAGGTTGCTCTTTGCTGACGTGCCCCAGATTTCAATCAGGTAGTCAATGTGTGATTTTACTAAAGAGTTATAGACAGTACATTTTACGTTTCGAGGCTAAGGGTCGAAGAGCGTCTGACAATGACGTTAATTTATTTCGTATTTTATCAATATGTGGCTTCCACGTAAGTCTATGATCCAATATAAGGCCCAAGTATTTCTCTTCATAAACTTTACTAATTCTTTCACGAAGGTTAATGATTAATGGGTTGTAGTTACCAATTTGTTTGTTTTAGCACAAAATATGATATAGTGAGTTTTTGAGGCATTGATAGTTAATAAATTTAAGTTTAACCAGACATTTAACATATTTAAGTCGTGTTGTGCTTGATCAACTATCGTAACTATTGAAGGACCAGATTAAAATAAACTAGTATCGTCAGACAAAGTGATATCACCTCTCAGTCCAATTTCGTGTATACTGTTAATGTAAACTAAAAAAGTAGAGGGCCCAATATTGATCCCTGAGGCACGCCACATGTGACGGATCTTGGTTCACTTTGATGGTTATCAATTTTAACAACTTGAGATCTATTTGAGAGATATGATTTGAGAATGTTATAACCTGAACCAGCAACACCCAAATCTTTTAATTTTAATAAAAGTATATTGTGGCTAACGGTATCAAATGCCTTCTTTAAATCGATGAAAACCCCTAATGTTATCATTCCTTGATCAATATTCAGTGTTATATTTGTTAATTAATAGTAATTTTTGAGCTTAATACGTCGAAGTCGATTAATACGTCGGAGTATAATTTAGCTTTTTTTTAACTACACTTGAACTAGGGCTTTACAGACATTGAAACAATGCATAAAACGAATCTCCAGACTCGAGACAATTATTTATGGATTACAATTTGTTTTTCCTGTTTTGGAATCGAACCTACAAAACTCGACGACTTAGGCAAAGCTACGATTTGAACCATTGGATTTAATCATTTAAGTTTCACTTGCACGTTGGAAGTTCTCTTTCTTTTTTTTTGGCTTCGCAAACGAGCAGACACAGATAATTCACTTGATGTTAAGTAACTACCGCCGCTCATGGACACGTCAAGAGTCACAAGTTCGTTGCCGGGTCTTTTTACTTCACAATGGAGAATCAGGATTCCGTTCATCTCACTCACTTGATGATATACAATAAAAGAATTGATTAGCACCAATTTTTTAGGTCATCGAGCCATCTTCACTCCCATCGAGCCGTTCCATGCGTGTGGAAGCACTGCTCTATGCATGTGTCACACAAACAGGAAACTCAGAACTAAATCGCCATAACCTTTGTACCTATGACTCTTGTGCCCATAGGCTATGATAGTCCATCAGTTGTCTGTTTGTTTGAACACTAGACCCTAAATAATAGTATATAGAAGCATAGAGAATGCTGTTTCGATATAAACTAAACTATGACTAAACGAGCAACGTTAAATATATGGCTACGTGGAACATTATTATGTACATAATCTTTGCAAAAAGTTGAGTTATTCAGATATTTTGAAATAGATTACTAATTGAAGATATAATCTATGTCTATATCATTCTATATATCGAGATATAAATGTTAAGTTGGTTTGTGACTTTGTGTACACTTTAAAAACTCAAAAAGATCTACAACAATTGGGCTCAAATTTTGACACGATATACAATCCGTTTCAAATATTCTTTTTATCTATTTTTTTGCCTCAGATTTGGGTCGAATTTTGATCAATGCATCCACAATGTGGCACAGCGAAGCGTGACCGGGTACAGCTAGTAAATAATAGAAGATCGTATTATGAGCATACAACTGAAAAATCTAAGTGTTTAAACCTTGAACGTTATAAACTTAAACGTTACTTATTAATTGCAAAAGCTTGCAGGTTAATGCGTTTTAATTCATTTTCGCTATCAAATTGTAATAGTTATTATTATATTACCTAACTTTTATGATTTATGAAGAAATAAAAATTAATACTGTCTACTCCTAATTAATATTAGAAATAAATGCTTCGTTTATTTCTTTTGCTTTATCCGCCCCTTAACCAACATTTTGAACTTTACACAAATGTTGCCAGGTTTATTAATAAAGATAATAATGGGCCCGTGTGTTAGATTTTGTTACCCCTTTAAAATTAAAGGGAGACCAGAAAAGGTATAAAAGATAAATAGTAATAATAACCTCACACATCTCACACACGGCAGTCTGGTGCCAAACTAGGCAGAGCCTGTGCTATGGTAACCCGACTGCTGACAAAAATACTTATATATTTCTAAATACATACATATTATAGATAAATTAAACCCAGACACAGAACAAACGATCGTGCTCATCACACAAATATTTGTTCTGGGTGGGAATCGAACGAACGACCTCCGGTTTAGCAGTCAGGGTCACTAACCACTTGACCAACAGGCCCGTCGATGCCGTCGTTGAGGCCGATGTGTATTTTAATTGCCCCTCAGAATAAAGGGAGTACGTTTCAAGTGACCAAAGTCAGAGTGAGGCCGTGCCGAGCATCAAGTAGTATCATTGTGTAGTAAACATCAGGTCGCGAAAATGCCACTTCAGTAACAGAATCATTCTTCTTCATCAGAAATAACACAGTTCTTCCCGTCCATCGCTTTGAGACACACAACATTAGGGTTCGTGAAGTCATTTTGAGACTTTCCTGACAACGACAACTAGTTCTTTCCCTTTGCTGCCTAGTTATTCTTTAAAGAATGGTATCAGATAAGGGCCTCAATTCTGCCTACCTGACCTGCACAATCTAAGTTGGCGATATCGAAGTTCTTTAGAAAGACCGTTGTCGGACTCCTTAGGACTCCGCAACCGTGACTAAAGCGATGGCTTAACGTGCTTTCCGAGGTACAGAGGGGTCTCTGTGTGTTAAGAAATGGTCACCCAACCATAGACTGACCTGACTAAGGTTGCTTAACTTTGCAATGTGTTAACATACTTGGTTACCACTTAGCTAAGAGCCCCCTCTTACTCAAATTAAAAGGGTCTCGTGGCTAAGTGGTTATCATTAATAGTAATATATTTATTTTATTTACTTAAAAAAAAAGATGTACAACCACTAGATACCACATTGACAGTGGACCTCATAAGGCTGATATTATTTATTCCACAGAAGAGGTACCAGGCTCCGGAAAGAGCAGAGTTATTGTCCTGTATAAACGTTATTCTGGGGTAGAAGTTGATGTTTTCCGGCACCATCCACCACTCGAGCGCACGTGTTCCGGTTCCGTACACTTCTTAGAACTTCAAGAAGTTGAGACACCCTTGTGGCACGAAATTTAATTTATATAGGGGTCATTCTTTATAAATAGATAATTATAGTTTGTTTTTATCACCAACAAAGGCTTCAGAACACAGATCAAAATACAAATGATATAAATATGCGTATTGTTCAGATTTATCTGTATCAAGTCGGAACTGAACCCACGACCCCTGACAATAAACGAGCTTCCGCCAGAATAATATATTGGTCATCAAGGTTTCATAGATTTACGGAAGATATTTCTGTAATAATATATATATGATATTAATATTATTGTCATATTATAATTGACAACAGTCTCACATAATATAAATAAATTTGAAGTTAACATTTTAAATCGACAGGGCCCTGAAACATTGTTCCTTATTAGGATTAGAAGAAGGTCATTATTTAACGCTCTGATAATAATATCATCACCTATGCGTAAACAGGATTTCAAATTATAATATTCAAATTCCCTATACATGGAATAAATAATGCACAAAATTAGGAAGGTGTGCCGAAGTTTGAAGATTCTATAAAAACTAAGCATTTAAATATATGCAAAGTAATCGTTGCACGTTAACATATAAAAACGTGTCAAATCTAACCTTTAAGCACAGTCATCCTCTTCTTCTCAGACGAGTATCACCCACCTTTAACTTACAAAAATGAAACTAGTAAGTTTATAATCGCTATTCTTTCACACTTTATACTAATTATAAAATCAATAAGTCGTAACTTAATTAGTTATAAATAGGCAATTAAATCATCTCACTTTAATCATAAATTTCATTTAAAGATCACACAACTGACATTCTACTTGGTTTAGTGAAATGTCAAAGCAGGTTATTGAGTAAATGATATGATGACACATAGTTTACGCCAAAGAAAAACATTAAATATTTTTTTTGTATGAATTTGCATAAGTTACATTTATATTTCATACATCTTAACTAGATAAAATGTTAAAGGAAAATAGAATTTTCAAAATCGATCCGTAATTGACGTAGTAATCGGTGAATATACACCAAAAAATAGAACATAGAATCTCCTCCTTTTTGAATATGGTTAAAAGAAAAGTCGCGCTTAGACCAAAGTCATGAATTAATTAAAATTAGTGTAATACGTTTAATAAAGTAGGTTAAACATTACTAGGTATCCCTACCACGCTACCGCTGCTTCCAATAACAAATATTTAATCTCATCTATTTTAGAATAAAATGGTGTAATATTTTACTAAGGTAACGTTTGACTTCTTGTCTGTTTGTTTATAAGTTTTTATTTAGTATGGTTTTGGACGCTTATTAAATAACTGCCATGTTATTTTTTAATTCTGTACACACTAATTGGAATGAAGTTCCACTGAGCGGATTAGAGCGAGACCGAAAAATGTGTTGAAAGCTTCGTTCTGATCGGGGATCCATGGACCTCTCACTCCGTTTTTGTAATAAGTTTTGATATCATGCCTACAACAATCGTCATGGTTGTAATACAAAAACTTTGTTAGGCGATTTTCTTGCGTCAAAGTTATTTTTTTTTTGTCTTAGTAGAAGTACTTTTTTTTTGTTTCCTTTACCCATTTTTCTCACCAAATCTGCCCATAAAATTACCTATTTACAGTCTATTTTTCCATCCAAAGGTTGCCTGTAAGAGATTGCTTTTTGCTTTTAGCGATAAGGCCGCAATTTGTACATAGTCATTATCATATCCTGAATTGGTGAACAATAAAGATTAATCTATTCTATTCTACTTTTTATAGATTAAAGGATATATTTTATGTCCTTTTCAATGCTTTTGCCAATGTGTATATATTATTTATTTGTAACTGGCTGTACACTGCGACGCTTCGCTGTTGCACATTATGGTTGCATTGATGAGAAATGAGGAATAAAACTAACGCAAAAATAGATAAAGGCAATTCTTAAAGAGCATTGTATATAGTGTGAAAATTTGAACTCAAACGGTGCAGAACTTTTTGAGTTTTTGAAACGTGCACAAACCAACCTAACATTATACATAGATAGAAAATCGATATGAGCTCACGGTCAAAATTTTGATCAGCAATAGCATCTAAACCTTGACATTTCCGTCCTTTATGTCCTCTTTTAATTATGAATGTAAATGTCTAATAAAAGTCCAATAGGTCACCGTGGTTTCTGAGCATTAATGACGTTTGTTGAGCAACGGATTCTTGAAATTACTCAACATTGACTACATTATTATCTACTTTATCAGTCATTTTTAACCGTGAATCTATTTTAGGATTATTTTATATTTCACTAAAAACACTTACACTTACAATAACAATTTACTTATTACCTGGATAGTTGGCGCTCCACTACTGTGCGCTTTTTGAGACAATTTTTGCCCCGCACAACCAATCTGCGGAACGGGTTATTATCTAAGGTATTTCCAGACCGATACGACCTTCAAACCTTCAAGAAAAGAGCGTACTTCTTCCTAAAAGACCGGCAACGCGTTTGTGACTCCTGATTTGCAGACGTTCATGGGCGGCGATGGTCACATTTCCATGAGGTGACCCGTCTGCTCGTCTGCCCCCTCTAACATAAAAAAAACATTTATAAATGAATTAATAAATTCTTTCATAAATTATTCATCAATCTTCGAAAACTTATTTCGGGTCCGGGATATATTTAGGAATAATATAAAAATTAATATCAGCAATTTTATATAAAGTATATAATAAATAATATAATATATTCTACCACATTCACACAACGCCATCTAGTCCCAAACGAAGCAGAGCTTGTACTATGGGTACTAGACAACTGATATCAATACATATATACTTTTTTTTTTATAAATACATACATTTTATACATATAAACACCCAGACCAAATCAAACATTAAATGTTCATGCAACACACATGTTTGATTTGAGCGGGAATCGAACCCGCGAACTTTGAAATAGCAGTCCTTTACACAAACCACTACGCCATTCTGTCGTCAATAATATAGACAAAGTTCCCTCTCAAATGGCTTTAACTTTGTTTAGTTCCTCGTGCTCGCTCTCGTCGCCGCTGTGGCCGTGGCAGTCCCCGTTGACCCCAAAGACGCTGTCATTCTTCGTTATGATTCTGACAACATTGGAGTAGACAGATACAACTATAAGTAAGTGTGAACAGAGTAATTATTGCAATAAAAAAACTAAAAAACACGCTTTAAAAATAAATTTGAAAAAAAAGCGTTGGGTGACTGTTGTCTATCGTAAAAAGCACAACATGCTTTTTTCAAATTTATTTTCTATTTTTTAGTTTCGTTTTCTATAGAAAGCGTGTTTTTTAGTTTTTAAAACTATATATATATAAATATATTTTTAATTAGTGTATTGTCATCGGTCCTCGATATATCTACAAAGTTTGAACGAATTCAGTCAAAGTCAGTCAAAATCACGCCCAAAGGAGTCGGTTACAAACATACAAACAAACATACAAGTGAGGCTAATATAAAGCGTGTAAAAAAAAAACAAAAAGCCCGACTGCGTAAAAATGTACACTATAATTTAAGTACCTATGGTCACTTCAGAATTAAAACGAATCTAATGGCACCTCAAACGCCGAAGTTTATTAAACCATTTAGGCTATAGAATATACGCATATACTTGAAATACACAAAACATTCCATCCAGTTTGCCAACAAATCTTACGACTATAGAAAACAGCAGTAAGACTATGGAATAACTCTTGCCAATCCGACAAGCCTTGCCTGTTTTTAAAAAGCTAGTGAAGAATTTTTATTTGTCATTATAAATACTGTTGGTTTCATCATATATAGTATTTATTTTAGTCTGTGTATGTATGTAGGTGTGTATTTTTGTGTGTGTGTTACGTGTATTTAATCTACCCTCAATTTCTAAATATCTAATTTCCATTTTAAGGTTGTCTGTAAGAGACCGACGTGGTCGATAAGACCGCCAATTGTTACGTCTACATAATTGTAACTCATATTTTGTAATGCTTTGAGCAGTAAAGATTTAAATGAAATTAATAAAAATATAACCCTCCTTCTGGCGAAGTCATGTAAAGACACGACACGATTTCTTTGACAGAAATGACGTCACATTTATGTATCTGTTTTTGTCTGTGATTGTCTGTTGTTGTCTGTTATTAACATTTATGTATCTGTTTAATAGTGTGGAGACAAGTGACGGCAAGTCTGCATCGGAAAGCGGTCAGCTAGAGAACATTGGAACTGAAAACGAGGCTCTCGTTGTTCGTGGCCAGTTCAGCTACACCGCCCCTGACGGTACTCAATACACTGTGCTCTACACCGCTGACAAGGATGGGTTCAAACCCCAGGGCGCTCACATTCCCGCTTAAGCGAACGATTACCAACGACCAAAAATCTAGTCAGAACTGACCGACCTTGCAAGAGAATATTATGTTTGCTGTTAACTGTTTATCTTGTTTTGTTGGACTTACGTTCACTAAATAGCGAATAGGATAGCAAATATATATTTAAGTACAAATATATTTTTTTTCATTTAAAGACCTGTATGGTTTTGGTTAATAAATTTTTATCAAATGGAAAAAAATACAGATGACAGGGAAGGCTCTTTCTTCTTCCATCTTCCTAGATCTTTAGCTGTCGCGGAGGACTTTACAAACGTACATGAAACGGACACAAAGAACATTCAGACTCAGAAAGACAATATGTGGATCACACATAGTGTCGTCCCATGTGGGGATCGAACCTTAATCGAACCGAAGCCTAAGCCACTACGCCATCCGTGCATTCAAATCTACATAAATGTTTTAAATTTAATCAAATTTTTTAACTAGAAACACTTAATGGTTTCATTAACAATTTGCCATGCAGTATTTAAATTTTTAAGGAGTGTTCTTTAAAAATCAAAACACAAAAGAAAGAGTGTACTCCTCAAAGGACGGTAACGCACTCCTCATTCATACGTTGCAAGTGTCTATTGGCACCAGTAGTCACTTACCATCAAGTGATAAATCAATAGCAAAAAGTGAAGTCAATCCTATCAAAGACGTATTAGACGAAAAAAGAAAATCAAGGGTTTCAGGTTAAAAAAGACAATGCGCGGGTATGTTACAATCCATTAGCGGGTTCCAGACTACCTTCAGTGCACTCACCTAGATCAAAGTTAATCAAAGCTACACTCACAAAGGACCGAAAAGGAGTTCCATTGTGGCAAATAGTCCCGTATAAAGACATTACTTTAAACAGTACTCTACTTCATTTAATGTTAAACTTCGATATTTTTTATTAAGTTATCAGGGTACATAGTATACGTATAATAACAACGGTTATATCATATTTATTTATTCACCAAAAATTACAGATACATTAGATTACTTAATGGTATATAATGGCAAAGACGTGACAGAAATCTGAACCCAATTAAGCTCTGCTTCTTGACCCAGGTTTGTCGATGTATTTCAAGAAGCAGTCACATACAGAACTTGATTTTGAGTACATTTAGATATACTTTAAATTCAAAAACAATATTGTGATATATTTAATGATGCGACTGTATCTAGCTGTAATTTAAAAAATAATAGTGGCCGTGAGTTTGTTTCCAAAGATTTGAACCTTTTGAGAAGACCTTTCTTCTCAAAAGGTTCAAATCTTTGGAAACGAACTATTATAATCGGTGGATTCACTTCATTTTAATAAATATTTGACAATACAGATTTTTGCTATTGTGTGAGTTGACCTATGAGTCTTAGACCATTTCAATTATTATTTTTATGTAATAAAGATATTTTGAATTTGAGTTTAGTTCTGGTTAGTTTAATTACAGAAATACAAGATACTAGTTCGATTCAAATCGATTAACTAACAGTCTACGGTTGCTATCTTCTGTGTTGTGTATGCCATCTTCGAGAAAACGTATACATACAAGTATGAGTACAATACATAAAAAATACTACCGGACCCAATAGACGCTGCGATTGCTAACTAATTGACAAATGTCAGATCTAATTTTGAAACTAAATTATCTACGGACCACTCCTCAAATACCTAAACTATTGCATTTTTTTTTTTTTTTTTTTTATAAAAAGACAACTCCCGCATTAGGAATAAATCCTGTGTCGCGGGGGACTTTACAAACATACATGAAACGGACACAAAGAACACCCAGACTCAGAACAACAATTTGTGGATCACACAAAGTGTCGTCCCATGTGGGGTTTGAACCCACAACACTCGGCGCAGTAGGAAGCGGCGTGATGACCGCTTAAACCACTACGCCATCCGTGCAGTCAACAACAACATTAAAATAGGTTATCAGGTTATCAGTGACATAAGCATACAAGTATTTAAAGACATTCCAATTCCAAAAAGAAGAATTAAAATAAGTATTAAATAGCCGCGGTCCCTTACATTTTGAGAAATGTGGAACAAGAAAAGAAATTTGTTTTTGTTGAAAAAAATCTACGATATCTTGAAAATAGTATCACATAAATTATTACTTAACAAGAATTCATTTAAATTAAAAACATTTCATGCTTCTGTAACACACTACTCACAATTCCATAACCGCACACTGCGAATAAAGTAAAATCTCAAATAGAGCATCTTTGCGATAGTTTTGAGATAAGCAGCAGTGTGGGCGAGATTACATGGCGCGGCTTCAAAGACGCTTTGATTCAGAGGTGTTAATGCAAGCCATTATTACAACCAGCCTTACCTATGTCGAGATAGGAGATAGCACTTTTGTGTAATGTTTACTAAAATGGACATGTTCAGAATAGAGTCTGTTTCGTTTGGCTTACAAAGGAGTTACATCACATGGACTTTTGGACAGTTTTGGTTATCTGTCATAAGTTGTTCTTGTGACATATATATTATGAGAGATTAAAATACATAAATTTTATCTTTTTAAGTGAGTTAAAGCCTCTGTGACCGACATAGAGATAGGAGGAACATGACTTGGTATGTAAACGAGTATGTTGTATTGTCATCAGTTTGTTCGAAGGTTCGGTCTTCCTGTCAATACCCAGCTTGTATTACAGCCATGCTATCTACCCCTATTCATCCCGTGGGTCTTGTAAGAGCCGACTATACTAGGGCGGGGGTAGCCCGTGGCTTCCCCTGGATAGGGCTTAAGGTCGATCAGGGGGCGGACCTGAAATAACATGGTCTGGATCGGCCTCGGAGTAAGGCGCCTGAGTCCGGCCGTTGTGGTAGTTTTTAGTGGAAACACCACATACTCTTGGCCCCTGCTTTCCTAAGGAACCAGAGATCCGAACGGATTTTCCACAACATCATAGAAAAAAAAACTTCTACCTAAGGAAAGGTCTATGTCCAGCAGTGAACTATTAAAGGCATAATTTTTATCAACAATCATGATGATCCTTGATTGCTAGATTTGTTGCTAATCTATCCATATAAGAAATATTTTCCCCACCTTTACGGGATTACTTTAAGGGATAGCCTTGTCCTCCATTACGTGTGTGGGACTAAGATATGGTAAGCAAGATGTGGGTGTTTAATATGTCTCTACACATAAACATGTGTTTATTCATGTTTAGTGTGTAAAATTGTAGATTACGTCTTTATTAATGCATATAAAGTTAGCATAAAATAAAAATATAAGTTTATATAATCTGTGCCTCGCGGGACTGTAAAACAATTTGTGGATCACACAAAATATTGCCCTAAGAGGATCGAACCCGCGATACTCAGTGTAGAAGGGTTGAGGCACCCGCTTAAACCGCTACGCCATAAGTCAGGTTGTACTTCGGGCCTCTTGTCCACCTACATACTGGTTTGTGCAATATTTGAGTGTTAGGAAATACTAAACAGATTTGAATGTAGTTATTATTAAGAAAAGATAATTCTTGTCTTAGTAGAAATCTATTTGATTTTGATTGATTCCAAGACAACAATAAATTACATTTCAGCTAAAATGATTGACAATAAACTTTAACATCTTAGTGTCAGGGTTCAAATAACTTTGAAGCTAATTTCAGTCTATAGAATCACGAGGAATATTCTTAACAAATTATTATTGTATTAGTGACAGTCAATTGTGTAACCAATGAGGTGGATAAACATTTGATTGACAAACATTTTGATCTTTTGTCATATATTGACTCAACAGTCTATGTTAGTACCTAGTTATCATTGGGTAATTACATCTTTAGTAATAAGGTAATTTATACCATGTCGGGGCACCAGGGACTTCCTTTCTAGGGTATACCTGGTTCCCCGGCTATAAGTACCCGAGACGGCGTGCGGTTTTAGTCGGTTCGAGTCCGACATGCCACCGACGGGTGGTATCCGAGGGGATTTCCGCACGAAAAAATAAAAAAAAAGGGTAATTTATACCGTTACACGTTGAAAGTAAAGCAGTCCACCTAATCAAAACCTATTTCTCTCTATCTTCCTCCAATGGGAGTTCCTTCTGCAATAAGTCTTAATTTACACCTGATGATGACTACCTCGGCCACGGACATGTATCTCTAGAGACGCAACCCCGATGGCCTCCTTTGAGTGTCAACTCCAGGATTATCTCGCTCGGTGAAATCAACGAAAGAACTTCTTAATACCGGTTTTTTGTGAGGCCGGGATATCACCCCCGTCGAGCTGGGCAATATGTACCGAAGCATGGTTCTTTCACGATTCTAGCAAACATTACGGTACTTAATACTTCTAAACTATAATACGGTACTATAAAATAAATAAATAAATAAAAAATAAAAAAGCCTGTATTTCCATATCCTTAAATTCCATTTCAAATGTTGGTATTTGTTTGTTAGTGTTTAGTTAGTTATTCATGTTTTTCTTATTGTCTAAATGTTAGTAAGGGTTAGTTTTTTTTCTATTTGGATATGGACCCCTCCTCGGGTGAAGGCCTCCTCCAGGCCTTCCTTAATAGGAAAAGACTGGCAAACTATCGGCACGGATAGAGATGAGTGGAATACGGTACTAAATTCATGATATTTTTTGATTAATAAGAGTAGTGATGACATCCACACTAATATAAAAAAACGAAAGTGTATCTGTCTCTCTATCTGTTTGTCTGTCACCTCTTCACGCTTAAACCGCTAAACCAATTTAGATGAAATTTGGTATACAGACAGTTTGAGTCTCGGGAAAGGAAATAGGATAGTTTTCATTCCGGAAATCATCCTCTAAGGGAGTAAAAAGGGGGGAGGAAAATTGTATAGAGAATCCATAACCGCTGAATCGATAAAGGCTAATTTATACTGCGATAACTGATATATATAAAGCTAAAGCTAGTATTTAATAAAAAAACCTTGCCATTTTGGTTACTTCATTGGATTTAGAGGTTATACAAACCTAATGATATTTTGATGAATGTAACGAATGCTGTATAATA